TTACTAGGCCTAAATCGATCAGAAGGGGATAAAATATACTTTTCACGCAAGTTACGCAGACAGGTGGCCGCATCGAAAATGTCCAGACCGGAAGTGCTCATGACCGCGACTGAAAGACAGCTCACAAGAGAAGGCTTCATCGAAAAAAATCTCGCATCAGAAAGTAGATCGGTTATTTGAGACACCAGCCCCTCGGCCTGTAAAGGTGGATTACCTATAGGAGGAGGATTCGATAGAAGATGAAAAGAGGTTACTTCTCAGACCAAAAGATGCGAATAGAGTTAGTAGTCGACAACAGTCAGCCAGTTCGGATGAGCCAGAAATGTTGGGTGCCGCCACATCTTTGCTGCTGCGACCTTTCGTCCGCGCGAGCTCCTCTCTTAGGATATAGACAGTGACCTCGTAGACTGACCGCCAAGTAAAGATTGCGGCTTCAGCGTGTAGCCATTTCTGCTCACTGCGACTATCCAAATATCTGCGGATTACAGGATCTTTCAGGACATTAATAGCCTGCGACAAACGAATCTAGCAAAAGAACCGGTTTAGAGGTTTTCCCGCGTCACTTACCTTGCGGTCTTTTCGGTTGCTTGTGGAGAGAGCGTTAAATACCTCCTCGACCCGTGCCATCAGGTTAACCGAGAAGACAGAGGTCGCGTCAAAGAGAACTAAGGAAAGATTAAAAAAGCATAAGCCACCACGAGTATCTCATGATACAGTACACAAGATTTGTGGTGCTTGATTTTCAGAAGGCAAGTAATCGGCTCTTTCATAGTGGGTTGTGTCAGCTGCTTGCGGAAGCATAAATGAAAGTGGAAGAAAGGTGGCGAGTGGCTTTTTTCAGCATTTTCAGCACAACTACTATAATACCATTGTGCATTTCTGATGAACCCAGTGCCGCAGATTAGTACATATAATTAACTCGAGGAACAACTGTCGGTATGAGTCCAGTTAGTCTAGGCTGGCCTGAAAATGCAAAACTCAACCAAGTCACAGTGAATGATTGACGTAGAAAGATCCTTTTTTCTGTACATAAACGCTCTACCGTTGACTTTTGGTACTAATTTCTGATCAAAACTCGGCGTAACTTATACAACAGAGCGGGAAAACGAGGACCACGTAAGTCAGGGTAGGAAAATTTGGCCCCAGTACTGGTGCTGAAGGCCAGGAAAGCAGTGTAGAAAGCAGGTTATTTGAAATTAATAAAGGAGGGACTTAGATGGGTGAGGGAAAATAGAGTGCGCTAGATACAACGCAAGTCTACTATCACTTGAAAATAAACCACGCTTAAGTGACATCCCTGCCCCCCTACGTTGTGGAGCACACGGTGGAAATCGTCGGAACCGACGGTCAAACTGACATATTTGTTCGTAAAGGGCCACGGCAAATAGTTGACGAGGTAAAGTGGTCAGTTCCATTTAGTTGGAATGGAATAAAATCCTTAGACTGGCAAAATCCGAGTGTTTTTCTCCCAAATACTGCTGCATTCCGCTCAGTTAATTGAGAGAATATAGTCGGGATGCGAGGAGCATGCGGGTTCTTCACTATCATACAGAGTAAGTGTAATATGACCCGAGATCACGTCTTAAGAACTTAAAGTGGTAGGGTCATTGGGGTTTAGTGGTCACTTCTTATCAAAAAATGCGGTGCATTAAAGGACTAGTTCAGTTATCTTTAGGGAAATTTGTATAGGGATAACCAAAATCTAATTTTGTTTATTCCGTGCACGTTTTGGGGATATCCATTTAATATACGTTTTACACGACAACCTCATAGGTCTATGAATGCGGACGAGCCACCCAGAGTGTCGGGTGGTTTTATTGACAGGAGAAGCAATAACGATCAGAGTATGAATATCAGTTCTTCGTTGACAAAGGATCTTTGTATGCAAATGTCTAAGCTAACGACCGGGCCGTCAACCGATTCTGATGGTAATATATGCCTTGCCACTTATTTTCCCCGCACCGGTGTTAACTAAAACCAGGCGAGTTTAAGTGACTCCACCCCATAATTTAGGGCTGTAAATTTTAAACGACAACTAACAAATTAGCCAAAGCGCGTGCACGAAAGATAATGTGAAAGACCGACAAAACTTTCAAGAATGACTGCATGTGCAACCGAGC